GCTTTCGGGCTGTCAGTGGGATAGTCCCCATGTCTGACCTGAGGGCGCATTGGCGGACATGCAGGTCTGCTGGAAAGCCGCTAGTTGGGTGGTCCTGTACATCTGGTGGTAGGGTGGGGATAGCGCAGTACGTCTCTGTGTCAGGCGCTGACAGCGCATCAGATCGGCGTCGAGTGGCATTACATCGCGCCGGGCAAGCCGACGCAGAACAGCATGTGCGAGAGCAGCAACGGCAGGAAACCGGGGGGGGGGGGGGAGGGAGGCGGCGGTGGAGAGGGGGTGCGTGGGCAATCGCCTGCGCGTTGAATCCCGCCGCGGTGGCGAGGGATCGCTCTCGCTCGCCTGGGAGCGAGCACATGTCACATGAGTCAGGCGCAGAGAAGGGAAGGGCCCGGAGCGCGCGGCGGCCCCCCCCCTCTCTCTCTCTCTCTCGCTCGCCGGCGACGACGACGTGCGTCTCGAGCTCGACAATGTCGACGACGGCGAGGAAGAAGGCGTCGACGGGCTTGCCCTTGGAGGAGAGCTCCTATCGCTCGGGGCGCGAGAGGTAGCCGAGATCGCCGAGAGCCGCTCCTCCCAGACCGGGGGCAGAGCGCCGTCTTGACGGCGACGCACTCTGGCACCAGTTCCGGCACCCGCGCGAGCATGCCGGCGGCGTCGGTCGTCTCGACGACGGCGAAGGCGACGTGGACGGGCGCCTAGCAGGATGGCGGGCGGTTGGTGGCTCGTGCGCTACGCGGCGGTCGGGCGAGGGAGGGCCTGTCCGCCGCCGAGCGAGTCCTCTCGGGTCCTCTCTCGGGTCCTCTCGGGTCCTCTCGGGTCCTCTCGGGTCCTCTCGGGTCCTCTCGGGTCCTCTCGGGTCCTCTCGGGTCCTCTCGGGTCCTCTCGGGTCCTCTCGGGTCCTCTCGGGTCCTCTCGGGTCCTCTCGGGGTCGCCTCCGCGCTGCCGAGCTTGAACTGCTTGAGGTCGCCCTCGCACAGCGCGTACGCGGACATGCCCGCAAGGGAGCGGCTCTTCGCCTTGAACTGCTGCGCCGCGAGCAGGTTCACGTCCGCGACGCCCGTGTACTGCACGAGCAGAGACACGACCTTGCGGTCCCAGTCGGTGGTGGTGGGCGAGCGCAGGTTGAGCGTGTCGGAGAGGATCGCCTGCGGGAGATGCGGCCGAGATGCAGCCGAGATGCGGACGAGATTCAGCCGAGATGCAGCCGAGATGCGGCCGAGATGCGGCCGAGATGCAGCCGAGAGGCAGCCGAGAGGCAGCCGAGAGGCAGCCGAGATGCAGCCGAGAGGCAGCCGAGAGGCAGCCGAGAGGCAGTCGAGAGGCAGCCGAGAGGCAGCCGAGAGGCAGTCGAGAGGCAGCCGAGAGGCAGTCGAGAGGCAGCCGAGAGGCAGCCGAGAGGCAGTCGAGAGGCAGCCGAGAGGCAGCCGAGAGGCAGCCGAGGTGCAGCCGAGAGGCAGCGCAGGCTGAGCGTGCTCGAGAGGCCTGCAGCAGCAGCCCGCCGACTTCGCGCGGCATCGGACGCTGCAGCACGACGAAGGAATGCGCGATGATGGTCGACATGGAGCCCCACGGCCGGATGTCGACAAAGATCGGCCTCTGCGTCACTATCGTTGACGACTGCAGCGCGTGGTGGTCGATGACACCCACGATCTTGGAAGGTTGGATCGCAGGATGCAGCTGCGTGGTCTGCTGGAAGTCGACGAGGCAGACGCGCGCGCTGTCACCCTGCTCCTCCAGGAGCTGCTCGACCGGCCTGATCCGGCTCAGATCGATGCCCCACGTGGCGAGCGCAAACTCAGTCTCGCTGTTGACCTCGGAGGCACGGGCAGGCACGCCGCCGTATAAGGCTGCCGCGCCGATCGCACCGGCCACGCTATCGAGGTCCGCGACCAGGTGGCCGCAGAAGATCGCGCCGTGAAGTTCTGGCACGTGAGTCTCGACTGACTCGGCTGTGGCGAGCACCGAGAGGAGCCGCTGCGCCGCATTCCACTCGCGGTTCACGGCCGCCTCGAGCGCCGTCTCTTCGCGAGCGGCGTACGTGGGTTTGCTCTTGTGGGGCGACGTCATTTAGGCTCGCAAAGGGCGTGGGGCTGCCGCGGGCTGGCGTTGTGACCGACGGCCGCGAGAGCGTGGGGCTGCTGCGCCGACGGCGTTGACGGGCACGCGGCTGGGCTTTCGCGAAGCTTTCAGGTGGGAATTTTCCGAGAAACTGCTTTGGGCAGCGCGCCGACTGCGAAGCCTACAGTGTAACGACGTTGCCGAGCACTTCATTTGCTGCCATGTGCGGCTTTGAGGGTGCCAGACTGTGTTGTAAAAGTCCTCCGGGTAGAGGTAAAGCCTCGGCGAATCGAGTGCATGTAGCATGCTGCTAGCCAAGCCCGTCTGCTTACAGATGATGACGACACGCATGAGCGACACACAGACAGAAACAGGCTCACAAGACACACAACCAGCGTGGCTGCCACACACCCGGAGTTGGCGTACACATAACTCGGGGCCACATCCTCCCTGTCGCCCCCCCCAGCACCCACGGTGCCAAGAGTACAAACAAGGGCACAACGACGCAACAGACGACAGGAAGTAACATGTGAGACCAGAGCAGGCTTGCTCCGCCTCTAGCAATCTCGCCGCCAGCCGCAAGGCATGGGCGAGACCGTGTGTGGGGTCATGTGAGGTGTCTATGGACGCCCTCCTCAGAGGCTAGCGGCCAGCCGCCAGCCCTATCTCGCACTCACAGGCAGTGACAATTCAATGGGTGAGTGTTTGCGAGCAGAGGCGCGTGGGCTGAATCTAGATCGCACGCCATGGCATATGACTGGGGGGGGGGGGCGTGCGACCGCAGCGCGCCCGCCGTCAGCTCGACGGTCTACAGTCAAGTGAAATAAGAAAAAACGCAACTGGCTGGAGACTGATTTCCAGAGAGTGATTTCCAGCTTCTCCGATGCCGTCGTCGGCCGGCACTTGCCTGGCCATGACCGCGCTGGCATACTTCTTGAACGTGCGATACGGAAGCGCCGTGGCCAAGTCGGATGTCGCTTTCCCGGTCGCATTCCTCGCTTACTCCTACGCCGCGAACGCCATCAGCTTCGGTTCCAACCGACTCTACTTTGCCAGGCTGGAGAAGGCCAATATCCCATTCGAGCCGATGGGAAAGCACAGCCTCGGGAAAGGAACCTTCATCACCGAGACTCCGTTCTTGATCTACTTTGGCGTCTCCAAGTTGCTGAGCTTCCTGGTCCCGCTCCTCCTGGTCTTTGTCGCGCCAGCAGACGTCGCGGCCGCAGCGACCCCTGCCCTCCTCCAAGTAATCGGTCAGGCCATCGCTGAGTCGGCCACCGCCTCACAGCATGACGTGCTCAAGATCCTCGTTCCCATCGCGTTCCAAGCCCACCGGCTCTTTGGCCCCGGCGCGGCCTGGGCATTCGAGTCGTGGTCCATGTGGGACGCCGCGGTGGATGGGCAGCAGTACGTTTACGCGTTCAGCCTCGGGCTGGCGTGGGCCAACCTTGTCTTCACGGCTTGGAACCTGTTCGGCTTCTTGCTCCTCAGGGCGCTGCCAGTCTATTTCGACAAGGAGGAAACGCCCACGGTGGAGTTCGCCTACACTTTGCTTCCGATTCCAAAGACCACCCTCTCTCTTTGAGCTTAGCCTTCGATGTTATGAAACAAACGCTCTCTCTTTTCTCCCAGTAAGCTAAAAGTACGAAGCAAATGTGAGAGCGCAAGGCGAAGAGCAGACGGCGAGGGGGGTGAGGGTCTTTGGGGTGGGTGGGGGCGGTCGAGGTGATGGGTATGGGCTTGCGGATGGCAGTTGACGGCTGATGACGGTTGGTTGGTGACCACTGTAGATCTATCGCATGTCGGTAAATAAATAAACAAAAATAAATAAAACGCACACCTCTACTAGCCCTCCGGCCGAGACATCGTCGTCAAGATGCGGGGGGGCGCGATCAAGACGATCAACAGACACATCGAGGGTACGACCCGCTCCACTTCGTCATCCTCCATCCAGCTGGCGACGGAGATCTTGGGTAAAAAGGAGTCCCGATCGTTGTGCACGGTTCTTTGCGGGTGTACAATAACAAACAACACGTCACGACGCGCGACGCGCGAGGCCGACCGAGGGGGCCCCAAGTCTTGAATTGGCGGGCAATTTCGGGTACATGCTACAACCTACATCCCACATCGGCCGTCTGTCTCGCATGATGCATGTCGCACTTGGAGCACTTGGAGTCGCGCATGATGCATCTTGTTGATGACGGCGTTTTTCGTTGTATGTGGCTCTTCGTTCGACGTATATTCCCCTCCTTTTTTGACCATACAAACAAAGCAATCCGTCCCGGGAATGTTGAAAGGGACAATATGACAAAACATACGGGAGAGAGTACTGTTGTAGCCTAAAGTCTGTACAGGTTGCGGAGGACACGATCCCGGCGTGAACACGACCTAACACGACTAACTGACGGATCCGCTCCTGACAGGGTGTGGCTTCCTCCTGCGGAAGTCGCCGCCACGCTCGGCGTAGCGGCTGTCCTGGTCCGCGACCACGGGTGCGACGACAAACTCCCACTCGAGCTTGGAGGTCGCACCCTCGATGCCGTTGGACGTGTCGAACGGCACGTCCGCATCCTTCTCTGCGCAGTGCTCCGTCTCCATGGCCTTGAGGAGCGAGCCGTCCACCATGAGCGGCGGCCCGATGAGCTTCTCGAGGCCTGCTCAGGGGATGGGGGGGCGACTGGTGAGAGAGGGCGGGCAGGGTAGGCAAGCTACTGGCGCGCAGCACGCCTCCGTAGAACTGCTCGACGCCGCCGAAGCCCATCTCACCCTTGAACGCGTCGCCCTCCGCGGCGAACTTGGCGTTCAGCGCCGCCCCGGTCGCGGCGCTTTGGCCGCGCAGCTTCTCAATGGCGGACCAGAGGAGCGTAGCGAGTCCACTCAGCTTCACCGCTTCGAGCTTGCTCTCGAGGTCGGCGAGCGAGAGGTTGCACACGTACTTGAACGGGTCTCTGGTTCCTGCCGGCTCCTTCAGCGCCTCGGCCACAACCTCGGTTAGGGCGAGGGAGTCCACCCAGCCAGCGACGCCCCACTCCGCTGCGGGCTCCGCGTCGACCTGAGAGGAGCAGAGAGAGGGAGGGCGTGAGGCGGCGGGGAGGGTGGCGAGGCGGCGGGGAAAGAAGGAGGCAGACGCGGATGCGGCGGCGGAGGAGAGGGAGGCGGCAGCGGATGCGGCGGCGGTGTGAGGGTGGGCGAAGGCAGCGGTGTGGGGAATGCGTCGGCCTTGCCGTCGCGCGAAGGGGCGATCGCACTCGGCGTGCCGAAGTTGTGGAGCTGGTCCTTGAGTGACTGGATCTCGTCCTTGAGCGACTGGTTCTCGTCCTTGAGTGACTGGTTCTCGACCTGCTTGAGCGACTGGTTCTTGAGAGACTGGTTCTCGTCCTTGAGCGACTGGTTCTCGTCCCTGAGCTTGCGGAGCTCCGCCTCGTTGTTCTGGGAGGCGGTGCAGCCCACTTGAGCATCTCCTGCACCGGGGAGAGCGCGACCGTGAGTAGGCATCGGATGGCGCCGGGGCGCGCGAGAGAGAGCGCTACCAACAGCAGCGGCAGGGGCGGCAACACGGGGCGCGTGGAACGGGGCGGTGGTAGAGGCGGTGCTGGCGGGTGGCGGGAGGCGAAGGCAGCTGGACGACCTGTTGTGTCGTCTTGGGGACCGTCCTCTTCCTCTGCGGCCGCGGTGGCGAGATCAGCCGCTCTCGCTCCCCGAGGCTTGCCCCACGCAAGAGCTCGAGCGCGAATGGAGGTTGCGGTAGCGCCGCTCTTTGACATCACGTACTACTCCTTGGGCGTCGGCCTCCACAGAGGTGGCGGCAGCAATGTGCTCAACAGCGGCTCTGCTCAACCGCGGCTCTGCTCAACAGCGGCTCGCTCACACTGCTTGGGCTCCGCGCGGCGATTAGGCTGTCACGCTCTTCAAGAAATGACAATCCAGTTTAATGTTTTCCGAGCGAAATTCTTTTCCTTCGAGGCAGACACACGCACATCGCTCTCGAGCCAACGGTTCGCGTCACAATTCTTTTTCTGGCGGCATGAGTGCTTCGCTCATTGCCTCGCCGAGCGCTGCCTCGGTGCGGTGCGGCGGCGTCACAAATCCGAACGCAGAGCACCGGGACGCGGTCGGGCGATCTGAGGCCCAAGTAGGCGTGTGCATTGCCATCCACAGGGCTATCACCTGGACCTATCAACAGGCGCCTGCGGCGCCGTGGTCAAGGTCAGGAGCTGCTGCTCCAACCTGTTCACACTTTCGTATACGGTACAGTATATGTGTGTAACTGTAGAAAGATTTAGGTTTGGGGAGGGCGCGAGTGGGAGACTTTTCCTTTCAAACCTTTCGGCGGTCGAAATGCGGCGGGATGGATGCGTCCTCTACTCCTCTTGCGGGACGACACCACCTCCGAAGGGGGGGTGGACGTACGCCGGCGGCATGAGGGCTTCAACCACACAGCTACCAAGGGAACGCGACCCACACAAAGCACCAAAGTTAGGCATACCCCCCGGCGCAGTGTCCCCCGCTATGTGTCGCCGTTTGTCGGGGCACGCTATCCTGTGCAGTCAGGGCAAGTGGGGGCGGGGTGGAGTGCCCAGCAGCGTGCTCCTGGGATTTCTCTGCCCAGTCCGGGGGTGCGTCGAACCTTCCATCACCCTGGGAACGTCCGGGTGTTGGAAGTAAAGATATATTACTTTTTTTTCTTGTGGGACGACTGTTGGGACGACCTTTTGTGGCACTGGCAGCGATCGATGCCGGCGCAAGTGCCGGCGCCGGACGCGGCGGCGAGGCACACGGGCGCCGGCGTGGCGCGTCGGCAGGCCCACTAAGAGAGAGAGTGCTCGTCAATCGGTTACGGCCTCCTACGCGGGTGCCGTAAATCGGTTACGGCCTAAGCCGCATATTTGGGGGGGGGTCATCGGCTCCGCGCACATAGAAAAACACGCTCATCTGGAACGCGACCATGACCAAGCCAATAAAGGTCGGTCACCTGAAGGCAAATCGCCTGACTGTCTACAAGGAACAAGCGGGCTGCGGCACGTTCTTCTGGAATGATCGCCGCTCGCGCAAAGAGGTGCGCGGGAACCGGTTGTGGACGACCTTGGAGGGAGTCCAGATGCGTGGCAGCCGCCCTGATGCCAGGCAGCTGCCATTAGAGTCCCAGGACGAGGACGAGGACGAGGACGGGGATATTGTCGTGCAGATGTCTGGCCTAGGGCTTGGCGCGTCCGATTCGGAGGAGGAGGAGCAGCTCCAGCGGGCAATTGCGCGCTCTCTTGCCGATGCCAGCAACCAGCAGCATCATGGTGGTAGGGCGGCGGTGGAGGGCGACGGCGGCGAGGAGGAGGGCGAGGAGGAGGGCGAGGAGCAGGCGGAGGAGGGCGAGGAGGGCGGGGGCGAGGGCGAGGAGGGCGAGGGCGAGGAGGGGGAAGGCGAGGAGGAGGAGGGCGAGGAGGAGGAGGAGGAGCAGCGAGAGGAGGCGCGAGGCGAGGGCGGGCGGCAGGCCACAGCGCGGCGCTTCCCGAGGAGCTGCTCTGCCCGATCCTGCTCACCGTGATGGTGGACCCCGTCTCCACCGCCGAGGGACAGTGCTACGAGCGGGCCGCCATTGAGCGATGACTGAGGCCCGCACACCACACTTGCTGGGTGGTCAAAGCGCCTGGTGGTGCATGCTTTGACAGCCGCATCGGGCGCAGCGCAGGACGTCCACGTCGTTTTCATTCTCTGCGTGCCGCTGCAGCCGCTCGAAGCCGGTGCAGCTCGTGCAGCGCGTGCACGCGCCGCGCACGACGCCCATCAGGTCGACGTTCGGAGGCGCGTGCTCCGGCCGCAGCGGCTGCTGCACGCGCTCGCCCGCCGCCACGGAGTCGCTGGTGCCGACGAGCGCGTTGCCGAGGGTGAGCGGCTCGAGACGGCCGGTGCGTGGGTTGCTGACGTACCGCTCCTGGGCCGTGCCGGAGAAGGCTGGTCCGCGAGAGTCCTCGCCGACCTCCGGCGCCCAGACGGCGGGGTCGAGGTAGATGCCGCCGCCCCGGTCCGCCGCGATGGCACGAGGGTCGGCCGCTCGCCGCACCCTCGTCCTCTGCGGGCTGCGCCGCCGGCGGGAGGGCTCGGTGAGATCGCTCCGAATCTTGGCGGCGGCACGGCGGCCCTCCTCGAGCTCGGCCTCCGCCTTTCGCAGCTCGGCCGACGGCGTGCCGAGGAGGAGCAGCGGCCGGTGCCCGACGTTGAGCCCTGTGAGAAGGTCCCCGCCCGAGGGCTGCCGCCGCTGCGAGGCGAGGCCGGCCAGCTTCTGCTGCTCCGCTGCCACGCCCGTTCTCTCCGCGAGCCACGACCGGAGATCGTCGACTGTGGACGCCTCGCCGAACGCAAAGCTCAGCTCTCGCCCCTGCCATTTGATGCGCAGCGTCCCGCCGGGTCGCTTTGCTGGCTGGCGAGCCGCCTGCGGCTCGGTCTTTGGCGGTGACACGTCAGCGGCGTGGATTGCCTCGGCGAGGCGAGGCGCGTCCGACGCAGACACGCCTTCCACCTCGAGCAGATTTGAGCGCAGCGCCTGATGGCCCATGCTGCGGAGGAGCGGAAGACTCAGCTCCTCCGCAGCGAAAGCGGGCTCGAGGTGCGACAGCCGCAAGCGGTGGAGGAGGGCGACCAGATTTTCGTCCATGCCTGGTCTTGGGAGAGCTTGCACTGAGAGCGTCAAGCCAAATTTCACAGCCACTTCGAGTACGGGTGTGAACGGGTGTTTCGAGTTTTGGACGTGCTTCAGGTTACTCCCGCATGCTCACGAGTGGCCCAGGTGAGGCGCAGTGGGCACAAGTAACACCGAGTTCACTCGAATTACCCTCCAGTTCCTGGCAGTTCCTGGCAGTTCCTGGCAGTTCCTGGCAGTTCCTGGCAGTTCCCGGCCGTTCCAGCAGTTCGAGCGTTGCCGCCGACTGCGGCTACTTAACTAATACACACTACAAAGTCGCGCCCACGGCTCTGCGAGCCGTGGGCGCGACAAACCCCGGCGGGGTCGCCGGGTGGCGCCACCCTCCTAGGCGCGCGCCGGGCCGTGCGGCCACGGGCCGAAGGTCTCAAAGCGCTGCCGGCGGTTGAGCTGGAGGGCGGTCGTGTGGCCAACGACGTGCAGCATCGCCGTGAGGTGCTTGAGCGCGCGGCGGTACGCGCCCGGCCGGAACATGGCGTGCGGCACCTGTGTGGGCGATGGGCGGGTCAACGCGGGGGGGCGATGACAGGGGGCAGCAGGCGGCGGGCGGCGGGTGGGGATGAGGGGCGGGGGTGAGGGGCGAGGGTGGGGATGGAGGAGCCTTGATGGCCGAGATGACATTCTCGACGCGGTTGCGGATGTGCTCGTGGATGTTGCTGAAGATCTGCTGCTCCTCGGTCAGGTCCTTGCCCTTGAACTTGGTCATGATTCCGCGGCAGCCGATGTAGGCGAGGTCGGCGAGCCACAGCTCCCAGTCCTCGAGCGGGTGCTGCGAGCGGGGGAGGATGGGCGATCCGTGGCGGGTGGGCGGGTCGTGACACTGGGATGAGGCCGGGGTGGACGCACCAAATCAAATGTCGAATCCCAAATCACCTTGTCCGCGGTGACGCCGAGGTGCGGTCCTGTCCAGAGGACAATCTCGCCCTTGAGGGTGATGCCGACCTGGATCTTGAGCACACAGCAACCATCTGCGGCGCGCGGTGCCGAGGCACGGGTAAGACCGGGGCGTCACCGAGAGGAGCCGGCGAGAGCGGGGCGCATTTGGGGTTCCAAAGCAGCTTGCGCAAGCGGTACGACGTCGGCGCGGGGACCTTGACCGGCATCGTGTCCACGATGGAGGTGACGCGGTCGGCAAAGTGCGGCGCGTGGTTGTACTCGTCAAGCCTGCGGTGCGACGGCGGTGCGCGAGTCGGCGAGGGAGATTCGGAGCGGTGAGGCAGCGGCGGTGGCGGCGGCGGCGGCGGCGGCAGCGAGAGAGGGAGGTGGCAGGGGCGAGAGGGGGGGGGGGGGGGGAGAGAGAGAGAGAGAGAGGTGCGGGCGAGTGTGCCGTGATTGTACTGGTCAAGAGAGGCGAGGCAGGGCGTGGTGATGCCGCGTGGTGATGCCGCACACGTGCCGAGAGAGAGTGTGTCTGCGCGGGTATGTCTAGGCGCGCACCGGCGGTCGTACTCGATGTAGTTCATCTGCTTCAGCGCGATGCCGATTGGCAGCACTCGCCGGTCGAAGGTCCGCTCGGACATCTTTAGGGAGGGGAACTTGGGCATCGTCCACGCCTCCTTCCACTTTGGGTGGATCCCCTTGTGGATCCACCTGCAGCAGCGCGCACGGGAGGGTGAGGGGTGGGGATGAAGTGAGGGCGGCGGGCAGCAGCCGCGCCGCAGATGAAGAGAGAGAGAATACTCCTACGGCACGCACATGTAGTAGCAATAAAAGTACGCCGCTTGCTTGGTCAGCTTTGCCTGCGTCGGCGGTGCGGGAAGCGCGCCGCCGAAACTTCCCGGCGCCGAGCCACTGTGCGAGTGTTGATCGTCGAAAATTTGCTGCAGTACATCAAGGTCGTATCCTGTGTCGACTTTGCACCCTTGCTGCTCGAAAAGGGACAGATCCACAGACATGGCGTTTTTTGCAGTGGTGCTGTGTCAAGTACACAATTGAGGCGCGGCGCGCCAAATTGGCTCCTTAGCTCGCGGCGCCCCATTGTCGCCACCTTGGCGTCCATCCTTAGCTTCCCAAACCAGAGCTCCAAGCCCTTCCCGACCGCCCCACGCGACCCGAGATGGTGCGATCGAACCGTCTCGCGCCGCCCGAGCCGACTCTGAGACCCACGAGACCTCGGGACACTCTCCCAGCCTGCCCGAGACCAGAATCCCTCGTCGGCCATGGCGAATTCTGTGCTGAGGTTGGCCCTCAGACGAATTCGTGGAGCACCCCCACCTCTCTGACGCCCCTCCCTGTACGCCCTCGCAGTCACTCTCCAAGCCCAAGATCCCCAACGAGACCTTCTGCATCATCGCGCTCCACTCGCACAATGTCTTCGTGCATTCGAGTGCGGCCGGCGACGGCGCCGGCATCAAGACGCGCGTCGAGGGTGGCTGGCCCGGCTTGGGCACCGACCGGCCGAGCTCGGTACCCTACACCCCCCCTTTCCCCCACGTCTCATTCGCCCCCCGCACGCGCCCGCAAGGCGCTCCCCACTCAATGCGCGCCCCGCGCGTCATTTGTCGCCTCACAGGACTACCTCAATGCGCAGCGCACTGCGTGCCACGGTCTGCTGCCGGCCGACGTGAAGAAGATCCTCAGGGCCTGCCGAGACAACTTCGACCGCCTCTGCCTGCCCTACCTCCAGCTGGTCAAGCGCACCGACAACTTGCTCGACTTCAAGAACTTGGTGCAGAAGGCGGCGCGGCACCACCCGGACCTGAACATCATGGAGATGATGGAAGGCAACAAGTACACGGGCGCGTGGACCGATGCCAACTACTCCCGCGTCAAGGTCGACATCGAGCACATCATCGCGTGGTCCAAGCTGGCCGGCAACATCGCGCACTTCAAGTTCCTCTACGCGTCCGGCATCTTTGAGCAGCGCTACGTCCCCTTCCTCGGCGTCGACGTCGACTCGACAGACCGCGACTACCAGGTCGCGCTCGTCGCCTCGGTCGGGGTGCGCAAACTTGCTTGGCACACTCCCTCCCAGCTCCCCAAACTCAATAACCCTGCGGACCCCCCCCTCCCTCCCTGTGCAGTGGGCTGGCACCCGACTCGAGGTGCGCGACATGGGAGCATTGTGGGAGCTGAACATCATTCCCTACGCGGGCCCGCTGCCGTCCTCGTCCCGCCGCCCGTCGGGAGGAATCACGCCTGCCCTGGCCGGGCTCGTAGCGGCCGCCCCCGTGTCTGCAGACTCTCTGGGAGCTTCATCCCATCCGGCTTGCCCCCACCCCCGCCCGCGCTGGGCATTGTGCGTGTGCCGTCGCGCTTCTCGGCACCGCCGGTCATTATTGACCCTGAGTCGCCGCGCTCGCACCGAAGCTCAGCCGGCGCGGGCGGCGCGCGTACTTACTACTACCATTGGTCGACGGGCTCCCCGCGCAACTACGCCGGCCCCATGCCGCCGCGCCTCTCTGAGCACCCCTCAGATCGGACCTCGGCCACTGAAACGTTCTCGAGCCAGCGTTATAGTGCGGATGTCTAAGTTAGGTCTAAGGAGAGTGTGAATACAAGAATTAGAGCTCAAGTTGCAAATAGAGCGCCGCACGCGAACCGGAGAAGGGGCCGGGCAACTCTCCGCACTGACAGGTCGGTCGTCAGAAAACACGCCTGCGTGGACCGCGTCACACCAATGCTCGCTACCCAACGCGGCCAAAGGATATCAACCTCGAGTACCTCGAGAGAGCTGCCACGATGAACCAGACCAGCGGCCGCAGAGCCAGAGGTGGAGCGTGTCCAGCAAACCTTTGCCGGGCGCTATCACGCCGGGGTGTCTGTGGACCGCCAAGTTGCGGCGTAAAATGCTGCCACTACATGGCCGCAACATTGCGACAGATCCCAGAGTGCAAGGAGGGCGCCTCGGCAGAGATCAGAAGCTACGACGACTGGATGCAGTGGGCTGCGCGACTGCCGACGGCGCAAGGAATTCCGAAGATTGTGATGCAGGCATGGGTCACTGATAGTGTCCCAGGTGCCGTCACTGGCCATAGGAAAGGGCATGGAGAAGGCGGCTTCGGTCCGCGGTGCTCGGTGCTGGAGATGCAGTGGCGTCGACAGTGTCCGGAGCACACGTACGTCTGGCTGACGGAGGCGAGTGCGCGCAAATTTCTGCAGGCTCGGCGGAGCAGGGCGCTCGCAGCTTTCGAAGCTCTGCGACCTGGCGCATTCAAGTCCGACTTGCTTCGCTACGCCTGGCTCGCAGAGCATGGTGGCATCTACTTGGATAGCGACGCAGCGCCGACAGCTTCGATGGCAGGGATCCACGTTACCAACATCTCGCTTGTGGTCGCACGCGACAACCGGCTGGGATTCTTCTTGCAGAACAACTTCATCGCCGCTGCGCCGCGACATCCGGTCATGGAGCTGGCTCTCGAGATTGCTGTGTCGCAAGTCGAGCGGCGAGCAACGTCACCACCACCTCGTTTGTACGGACACTTTGGCGATGAGCGCGACGGCGCTTTGACCTTGACAGGGCCTGGCGTGCTCACCGCTGCGTGGAGGACATGGACTGCAAGCCTAACGCCAGGTCCATCGAGGGCCCGGCTGTTGCAACCAAGGAGTATTGTGCCCCTGCACACACACGATACCGTGATGATGCTGGAGGAAGGACCCGCCTCCCTGTACTGGAGGCACAATCGGAGCTATACCGGCCGAGACGTCACAAGCAGGCGCGCCGTCACGATCATAGCGAACGTGAGACCCCAAGCCAGCCGAGCACGCCGCGAACGTGACCCGTATGCCGCAAGCTACTTTTCAGCCTGGCGACACTGCGCGGTTTATAATCCCCGCCGCGGCGATACGCTGCGCAACGTGGCGCGAGACCGTACGGATGCGAACGTTGCCCGAGATCCACTCATGTACCATGCATGCAAACCGAACGTGACTAGGGCCGTACGGCGACCGCCGTCTGCACCGCACCCACCTGCTTCGCGCATCGACTACACTTTGAGCCTTCAAGCGCAGGGACACGCCTTTTTTGACGCCTTCGACTTCCATACGATTGACTACAACTACGGTGCAGCGCAGTATGTCACGCGTGACGATGCATTTGCAACGCGTCTAGTGGACTCCTCAGGGCCGTCAAGCCCACCTGCTGAATCGTGGGCAGTGGTACGCATTGAAGACTTCCTCGGTGCTCCATCACGCACCACGGCGCCACGCAAGCGCAAGTCGGTCAAGCTAATCTCTAAGCGCAGCTGGAACAGATTCCTAGTACGCCCCTCTTATGCAGCGCACGCCAAACCCTTCTCTTGATTCTCGGTTACTGTAGATTCTCGTGCTGTTTCTCTGTGCACACTCTCTCTGCTGCTGCCTCCGCCCCGTCCGCCGCGCGCCTCTCTGGAATTCCGCCGCTGCCCCCCCCCCCCCCCCACACCACAACACACACTGGCACCTCGCCCGTTATGCGCAGGTTGCCTTGAGCGTCACGCATGTGCCCTTCGGCTGTGGCGTGTGGCCCGCCTTTTGGAGCCTCGGCACAGGGGTGCAATGGCCGCACGGGGGCGAGCTTGACATCCTCGAGGCGCTCGGAGAGGACCGGAGCAAGGTCTCCTGGCATTCCAGTCAAAGCTGCGTGTTGGGCCATCCAGCCCGCTATCTGGACCAGAATCACATGAACTACGAATGTTCTACGGATTACTTCCACAAGCCGCCGAAAATGGGCTGCGCACCAACCGCAACGCACGCGATGCGGACAGCAGCGCAGTGGTCTAGCTCCCCAGGTGCACAGCCGCAGAAGAGACGCACTTGCGCTAAACGTGCTCTCACAGGGTAGCACAAGTCGCACACGCCGCACACGTGTGTGCTCCCACGTCTCTCGCTATCCAACCGCTGTGAGCTCTGCGCCACACGGTGATACCACGGTGATACCAACACCTCGTGATCCCTCGCCCGGTTGTATGCAGGTGTCTTTGCCGCGGAAATGACCAGCGAGGGCATCCGCGTGTTCTTCATCCCGTCACTAGAGCTGCCGGATTCTGGCCTCGACATCGACCAGCCTGACCCGAGAGGATGGCGTCGCTGGGAAATCGGCGCCTTCCCGTTGGCTGCATCGGAGGCGGCCACACCCGGGTCTTGCCCTGATCCCGAGAGGCTCAACACCCCGCACCAGTTCATCATTAACACAGGGCTGTGCGGAGATTGGCGAGAGTACCACGAGTCGAGGTGGCACTACGACTTCTGGCGATGGCACCTGCCATGCGCGGCGGCGACACACGGCACTGGCTGCACGAATGGGATTTTGCGGGGTCACAATGACTGCTGCATCAACTATGTCACGAACAGGTCCTCCAATCTCAGCCGAACTGCCTACTGGAACATATCATGGCTCAAGGTTTTTGAGCCCCGATGACTGCCGCACTTCGTAGCCGCTTTTTGCCGCACGCCTGCGGGGCCCTCGGGGCATAATAAGTGACCATCCAATATATAAAGGCCGCAGCGAGGTCCGGTAGAACTTCGCTGGCCCGCCGCGTGGAGCCCGTCGCAGCACATCGCCGCACCACTGTGGACCAGACAGGGCCGAGATGACGGCCTGCGGCCAGGCCGGCAGGAAAACCGTCTCTGTGCGAGCGCGTCGCCGCGTGCAGGAGAAGCAACGACTCGCCAACCGGCCTCTCGCTGTGTCTCCGCCGCCGCAACTCCGCCGCGGTCCGTCTGTGGGGTGGTTTGGGCAGCTGAGTACGAACTGCGGGATGGCGTGCGGGCTTCTCCTTTTTGCTGTATTCCTCGGTTGCCTGCCATCCGTCGGCGGCACGGCAACCGTCCCCGTCAGCCGCACCGTCGTCCGCGGCCGCCACATCCTCACGAGGAAGGAGTACCTCGACACCTTTGCTGGCGACACGGCTGGGTGGGCACAATACATGGAGGACCAGTACTTTGCCGAGCAGGGCGTGTCCCTCACGGCCGACGCCGAGGAGCGAGTCAGCAACAAGCCAGGGGAGACGCTCGGTCAGGCGAAGAGCCGGCTCTTCTTCAATCGCGTCCGCAAACCAAACATGCATCCAACCGAGCTCAGCCAGGCCGCAAACCAGTCCCGAGTGCAGAGGAAGCGAGAGAGCCCTGAGCAGCGCGACAAGGGAAAGCGAGACGACCGCACACGGCGGCAGACCAAAAGGGCGAGGCAGGCTGCCGCTCGCCCCGCCCGCCGCGCCTCCGAAATACTCAATGGCTCGCTGCTGGTCGAGGGGAGCGACGTTGGCAAGTGCGCCCGCCGTGATGCCGCCCGGCCGCACTCTGCGCGATCCTAACACGTGCTACTTTCTTCATACCGTAGGCTCGCTCTCACAAAGGAAGAGCAGAGCACCTCCACCACGTGCGCTGGCTGTGGCGCCGAGCTGCTTCCAGGCGAGGTCACCTCGTCCAACCCTACTTACGGCTCCATATGCTGCAAGAAGAACAAGGTCTCGCTCCCGCCCATCTGCATGCCCTGTCCGGAAGTCACCAAATTGTGGCACGATGCTGATGGCGTCGTCGGCAAGACACTTCGGAAGTTTGCCCGCGCCATCAACAACACGCTAGCATTCGCCTCGCAAAAGGTCAAGCGGCCGAACAATCTTCCGGGCTCAAGCACGTGGAGTCCGACCGTCGTGATCCAGGGCAGAGTCCACCACTTCATCGGGTCCCTCGCTCCGAATGACAACCAGTCGAAACAATTCGTTCAGACGTACATCAATGACCCGTCCATGAGCGAATGCCAACAGATCGACTATCGAATGGGCGCGAATGTGTGCGGGCCGTCGACATCGGCCGTCGAGACGGGCAACTCTCTCGAGGCGGGCAACTCTTCCGACGAGGACGCCTCTCACTGCGAGACGCTCGGGGCCGACGACTCCTCCGATGCGTCCTACACCGACGGCGACTCCTCCAGCATCGACTCCGATGTCGGCGGCGCCTCCGACGAGGACAGCGACGCGTCTTGGTTGCCCTCCGACTAGGCGTCGGCGCTATACAGAGAGGAGAGAGGGTATCATAGTATATGCGTGCTTCTGTGTGTGTGGCGACGCGTTGTCTGCCGCTGTCTTGCTTATTACACCTCATAGACATGTGGTGCACCTGGCACTAAGGCACCTCCCCGCGAAAAAGACACATCTAAACCCGGCTGACGGCGGCCTTACAATTTTCCTAGCAAGCCTCTACTGCTTCGTTGTCCGTCGTCTGCTGCTGTACAATTCTGGCCTCTTCTCCGTCGCAAGGGCCCCGCCCCCCTCGAGGGGGGGCGGGGCCCGCGCAGGGGCCCTCTAGTGCATCTGAAATAAACGCCTTTGGTCGGACTGTGTTTCGCCTTCCCATCACAATCACAATCACCCCTTTGCGGTAAGAACATACACCCCTTTGCGGTACGCAATGTACGGCCTCCCAGGCCACCACACGGGGTTCCCGCAGCAGGCTGGTCGCTAAGAGGACGATGCACTAGTAGAGGACGATGCACTAGTAGACCACTAGCCTAGTAGGCGGCTCTCTGGTGATGAACCGACGACGTGAATCCATGTTCCCAAGCTGTGACGGTCACTCACAGCCATCGTTGCTGGCGCACACGATGATTCAGGTACTCTGTCACCACAGAGTACGGTTCCTTCAACCTGGTCGCTCTCTGAGGTAGGAATGGCTGTGCGAGCCACGCACGTGTGCGAAGCAGGAGCAGGAGCGGCGACTTAACACTTACAGTATCATCACGAACATCCATGGGCGAGCGGCGTGACAGTCAGGGAGTCGGCCGGCGCGACTCGACGGCCACCTTAGGGTACCCCTAAGCACCCTCCCTGTCTCGTTTCCTTTCCGCCGTGTATCCCTACACGCTACAGAACCCTCTCGTTTCCTTCGAGCAGTCACCGAGACCCGCTGTTCTGTTACTTAGTGATTTCACTGTGAACACCCAGGGCCGGGGAGCTGAGAAGAAGCAGCGGGCCGGATCGGCATCGCGTTCCCCGCCCCGGATCCGTGGGCGATCGCACACGCGGCTGGGGGGCACGGCGCGAGGTGCCAGGTGGCGCTTACCACTGAAAAGGAGGTTTTGGAGCCCCTAAACGCGTCATAATAGCCGCACGTTTGCACTCGCTGTGCCTTGCCATCTCCGAGCCGCGCCCCCTCCTTCAGTTTTGGGGCGAATCGGGTGCCGAACTCGGCGTCAACAGCTTTGGCTCGACATCTTTACCATTTTGGCGAGAAACGCATAAGCCGCCCCAGCGAAATGGCCGATACGGCCGGAATCGGAGGCAGCGCCGGGGCGGCTTATGCGTTTCTCGGGGCGTGTGGTTTAGCCGGATATCGACCTGGTGTCCCGTGGGGACGGTTTTGAGCTGCCCTCCGGGCGCCCGCCGGCTCGGCGCGATTCTCAGAGGCCTGGCGCTAATCTTTCAGACGCACGGCGCGCCGCAATACATCTTCATGGAGGCGTTCGAGTCGAACCAGGGGGTCGCGCACGCGGAGCTGAGTCACTACGTGCGCGGCCTCGTCAAGGCGCTCGCCCCCTCCTCCACGCTCCGTCTCGACGAGTGGACGCAGCAGACGTGGAAGGGAGGGCTCGGCGTGAGCGCGTATGTCACGGGGGGGGGTGACGACAAGGCACCGACGCGCCGGTGCGTAGAGGCACTGCTAGGCGTGCCCTTCCCTGGGAAGGTGACCAGCCCCTCCAGCGGGAACCAGATCAAGTTCCCCAGCGACATCTCCGATGCAGTCGCGGTCCTCCTGTACGGCATGCAGGTGCACAAAGTGCCTTATAAAGAGGGCTCAGTTACCTTGAACGTCCAGGGCCGCCTGGCTAAGTGAATGAGGACTCATGTCATGTCACATATACGACACGTGTTGTGTTGGATTTCACAACCAGGAATGTCCTTAATTACACGCAGATAGTGTCCCTGACGCGTTCTGTACATGCCCCCAGTCATCATTTCAAAGGAAATGAAAAATGAAATTTTTGGGTGGGCCATGTTTGGGGGACCACACATTCACGGCCGACTTACATCCTCGAGGCGAGCCGCCGCCATGGCGCTCGCCATCTTGCCCCATAGTCGAGAGCTGTGTGTGGGTTTGCGACAAAAGCCCTCCGGTCCCTCGATTCCCTCGTCTATCCCCTCCGCTGCGTCGTCCCAGTTTATATCCTCATCCTCTGTGCGCGTTTTCGTTCCCTCCCCTTCTCCATCGTTGTCGCCTCCGTCGACTGCGGCGCTGTCTCTGCCCTCGCCTCCGTCCTCCTCGTCTCGCCTGCCGTCGTCCCGTGTCTCCTCGTCCTCGCCATCGTCTTGGCCGTTGTCTACCTGTTCATCGTGTCCCTTGCTGCTGGTGGCATCGCCGTTGGCTTCCTCTCTCCCCCTTTCCTCCCTGCCCCTCTCGCTGTCTGGTGCTAATGGACCCCCTTCCTCTCCCTCGCCACCGTCACCGTCACCATCCCCGTCGCTACCGCCCTCCATGCCCGCCGCCCTTTGTTTCACACTCGTCTCTGCCATGTCCGCCGTCGCCGCCGTCCTGTCTGCTGCGCTCTGTGCTCCGTGGTACAGTCGCTTATTGTTGTTCAGGATTAGCTCGCGCACCAGGACAGCCTCCTGCTCGTTATCTTGGCTTGCCGATATGCATCCAAAGTTCCACGCTAGCTCCTCCTTCGTCACGTCTATCTTTTTGCAGTATCTCGCAAATGCCGTCCGGGCTTGCTGGGGTGTTATTGCGTTCGGATCCGCCTTCGTCCCCGCCTTGTATCCCATCTCCTTGCCGTGGGGCTCCTGTCGTTAGACGTGGAGACGCGAGGGTCGCCCCCCGTTGCCCCACCACCTCGTGTGTGTGGAGAAGTCTACCTTACCTTACCTTATCCTTGCGGTGGCTCTTGTATGAGTCCCCATATGACCATGTGATTTCTTGGCCTTCCTTGATGCGACGGTGTATCATTCACTTTATGCCACCGTTGCATATCCCGCACTTGACTCCTCTCTCTGCAAACAGGACCATCACCTGCGCAGCTGCCTTGCCACTTGCCTAATTGATCTCCCCTCGCCTCGTGCCTCGTTTCGGCTCATTCGATGCTGCAGCGTGCAGGCCAGAGGTGGGAACTTAGAGAAAAAGGAACAAGTACTCAAAAATGTCCCAAAACGAACACACACCTGGGCCCAAATACGATACCTGCAAACTGTAGAGTGCATGCTCGATCGGTTTGGCCCGCGTCGTCGATTTTCCGGTGACTGCACCCGGTCCGGCCACCGAGACTGCGCGAGAGCGCTGCCGCCTTGTCAGCCAGCCTCCTCTTTCCGCTTGGCCGCCTCCTCCGCCGCTACGAGGTCGGCAAGCGAAGCGCCGTGACGCTTCATAGACCTACGCACACTGGTAGCTCTGTGCTCGGGCTGCTCCTGGCCAGTCTCGGCGGCTCTCGACTCATTTCGCGACCGGAGCGGCCGCACGTCCTCCGCGATCGGGTTGAGCTGCACCACGACGGCAGTGACCTACGCAGTCACGCCACGCTCGTCGCAACGCACCCTCGCGCGGGAGGTCAGCTGACGCGCGACGGCGGGCGACGTTATCGTCGGCGTGCCGCTTGAGCGCCGTCTCGACCAGCTTCTCCGACGCCATCGACGCGTCGGCGTACGTGCGCAGCTCGTCTCGCGCGAGTCGGACCGCCTGTTCGCAGCCTCTCTCTTGGGACGCCTGCTCTCTTCTCCGCTCTCTTCTCCCCCTCCGCTCGGCCGTGTCCACCGTCTCCCACAGCCATCTCGGCTATCTCCCGGCTACGCCTCGCCTCGGCCGTGTCCACCGTCTCCCACAGCCATCTCGGCTATCTCCCGGCTACGCCTCGCCTCGGCCGTGTCCACCGTCTCCCACAGCCATCTCGGCTATCTCCCGGCTACGCCTCGCCTCGGCCGTGTCCACCGTCTCCCAAAGCCATCTCGGCTATCTCCCGGCTACGCCTCGCCTCGGCCGTGTCCACCGTCTCCCACAGCCATCTCGGCTATCTCCCGGCTACGCCTCGCCTCGGCCGTGTCCACCGTCTCCCAAAGCCATCTCGGCTATCTCCCGGCTACGCCTCGCCTCGGCCGTGTCCACCGTCTCCCAAAGCCCGTCGGTGCCGAGCAACACAAACTCGTCCTCCGGCCGGACCTGCCGCACTCGAGGAACGAATGAATCCACCCACGGACCAGGCTCCTCTCGGCTCCTCAACTACTCCTCTCGGCTCCTCTCGGCCCCTCTCGGCCCCTCTCGGCTCGCCTCGGCTCGCCTCGGCTCCTCAACTACTCCTCTCTGCTCCTCTCGTCTCCTCTCGGCTCGCCTTGTCTCATCTCGGCTCCTCTCGGCTCCTCTCGTCTCCTCTCGTCTCCTCTCGTCTCCTCTCGTCTCCTCTCGTCTCCTCTCGTCTCCTCTCGGCTCGCCTTGTCTCCTCTCGTCTCCTCTCGGCTCCTCTCGTCTCCTCTCGGCTCCTCTCGGCTCCTCTCGTCTCCTCTCGGCTCCTCTCACGACCTCCCTCGACGCTAGCTCCGGGTGGCTGCTCAGACCGGCCGGCTTGCGGCCCGTGGCGCAGTCGAGGTCGCCGAGCGCGCGCGAGACCTGCAGGAAGCCCCACAACCGCCCCGCCTCCACCTGCCCGCCGTCGCGCAGCACCTACGGGACGCGTCCACGACATGTCGCCGACGCGCCCTGCACACGCCCCGCGCAGTGCCGCCGCGCAGCTCCCTCCGCCGCTCCGGCTCGCTCGAGGCGCAGTGCTCGCGCGTGAGCACCTGCGGGGCGGGGGGAGGCCGGGGGGTGAGAGGGGCGGGGTGAGGCCGGGGGGAGGGGCGGGGTGAGGCCGGGGGGAGGGGCGGGGGGAGGCCGGGGGGAGGCCGGGGGGGGGGGGGCGGGGTGAGGCCCGGGTGAGGCCGGGGGGAGGCCGGGGGCAGGCCGGGGTGACGGGCCGCTCGCGTTATCATGAGGAGGGGAGCGGAGGGGAGGGGAGGAGGGGAGGGGGGGAGGGGAGGGGAGGAGGGGAGGGGAGGGGAGGAGGGAGGGGGGGAGGAGATTGTGGTGGGCGGGAAGACACCTCCGCGACACCGCCGGTGCACAGCACGGCGCGACAGTCTCCGAGCCACGCCAAGTGCATCCGCTCCGCCCGCCTCCCGTCCGAGCGCAGCAGCAGCACAAGCGCCTGCCCGCGAGGACGCCTCGGCTCACCACCCACCTCGCACCGTCCGACCGCTGCGGCCCGACACGCCGTCGAGCCGCAGCAACTGCATCTCGGCGACATCTCGGCGACATCTCGGCGACATCTCGGCGACATCTCGGCGACATCTCGGCGACATCTCGGCGACATCTCGGCGATATGAGACGCCGTCGAACCGCAGCAGCCGCTAGGCGGCGGGGGAGGCGGTTGTGTCAGCCTCGCGACTGCCCGCTCGCGCGGCGAGCCCGCCTAGTGGACGTGTCCCGGACGTGTCATGGACGGCGCCAGTCTCGCGCGACCAAGCACGCGCGTGGGGGAAGCTGCCAGCGCGTCGCTGTCGGACAACCCGCCTCCTCCGCCTCCGCCTCCGCCTCCGCCTCCGCCTCCGCCTCCGCCTCCGCCGCCGCCGCCGCCGCCGCCGCCGCCGCCTCCGCCGCCGCCTCCGCCACCACCACTACCGCCGCTCGCGGGCGGCGACTCGCCTGCGGCGGCGCGGCGCGCCCTCCTCCTCGCCGCTGAGGCAGGCCGCCGCCCCGCCGCCGCCGCCGCCGCCTCGAGCTGCAGTTGGCGCAGCTGCTCGGACGCATGGTGCACGAGGGCCTGGCCTCGGCGGAGCTCGGGTCATCTCCCGCCGAGATCCCGCCGAGATCCCGCCGAGATCTCTGCCGGGATTCGGCCCGAGGGGCGCTGCGCCTGCTGCGCCAGCTGCAGCTGCCCCAGCTGCCGCGCCAGCAGCTGGTCGTCCGTCGTGAGAAAGCCTGGCGGAAACGGCGGGAAGGGTCCGAGAAGGGTCCGAGAAGGGTCTCGGGAAGCGCACCAGTCAGCCGCCCGCCGGAGGGGCGCAGGGAGGACCCTCGAGCAACGCCTCCTCCCCGCAAATCTCCGCAAATCTCCGCAAATCTCCGCTGCTTTCGGTTGCTCTCGGCTGCTCTCGGCTGCTCTCGGCCTTCGAGCAACGCGCGCTCCATCTCGGCGTCGGCCAGGTCCGTCGAGGCAACGCCCGGCCCCCAACTCACGCCCGCGCCTACGCTGCTCATCAGAAGGGCTCGCACCGCCCGCCGACTGTTTCACTCCTCGCGGCGTCACAGTCGCGCCGCCGCCGCCGCACAAGCCTCCCACGCTCGACGCGGCTGCAGCGTCTGACCTGGCGCCTCCGCCTCCGCCTCCGCCTCCGCCGCTGCCTCCGCCTCCGCCGCCGCCTCCGCCGCCTGCCTTGCCGCTGTCGCCTGGGCCATCCTTCCCGCCGCCGCCGCCGCCGCCCGCGCCGCCGCCGCCGATAGCACTGCCGCCGCCGCCGCCGTTCCCGCCGCCGTCGCTCCCGCCTCCGCAGATGCGGAGGTACGCGTCCGTCCGCATCACGTTGACGTGCAGCGCCTCGCGGCAGTACTGCGCCGCCTCGCCGCCGCCGTGGCCGTCGTAGACGCAGACAAAGGCTGCGTCCGCTGCCGGCGTCACGTGCACCAGCGCCTCGTCCTCCATGTACGCGCAGCCGCCGCGGTGCGCGTGCACCCCGACCGCAGCGCAGTGTCTCAGCCGCGCGAACGGGCCGCCGCCGCCCGCGCGAGAAGTCGAGGACGGGAGCGAGGGCGGCGGCGGCGGGAACGCGTCGCTGGGCGCCGGATCCGCCTCGGACCTCGCGCCGTCTTCGCACGGCACCGTCTGAAGCGAGTATTCGCCGCTCAGCAGCCTGGCTGCCGCGCCGGGAGGCCACGTCTCCGGCGGGCCGACGCAGACGGGCTGCTGAGAGGAGGAGGAGAAGAGCACGAGCATGGAGCGGCTCGCCCGGCGCGCCTCGAGGTACGCGTGAGCCCAGCCGCTCGGGCCCGGGACAAGAAGGTGGGACCGCGCGGGCCGCGCCTCGCCCATGCTCCCTGAGGGCTCGCCCATGCTCCCTGAGGGCTCGCCCAGCCCGGAGCGTGGAGCCGGCTCGAGTTCGGGGAGGTCCCGCTGTCGAGTGCCTAGAAAGAATTTAAACAAAACCTAGAAAGAAGCACGGGCGAACATATTTTGAACGAGTGGGCGGTGCAGGCTGTCTGTTTACAGGCGCCGTCCGCCCGCGCGCGCGCCGACCCAACTCCGAGCACGCTCGCTCGCCGCTGGGCGGCGCGCGTCCACACTGCGTCGGCAACACGACGCAGGAGCTCGCTCACTGCTGCTGCGGCGGCGGCAGCGACGGCGACTGCGAGCTGACGGCTGACGGCTGTACGGCTGTACGGCTGACGGCTGGCGGCCGGCGGCTGCGGCGAACGGCGACGGCTCGGTTCGCGTTCGCCCCGCGACGGTGCGACTGAGCCTGCCACGCTCGATCTGGGAGCCACTCGGCGCCAGTTCGAGCGGCGGTCGGCTCGGCCACTGCGGGTGCGACGCATGATAGAGCTGCTGGGCGCCGCATCGTGTACTACCGACCCACGCCAAGGCGCGGGGCGGTGGTGCTCGCCGGCGCTCGCGGTGCTTCGGTGCTCGAGCGCGCTCAACATTGTGGTCGTTCAGGGCGGCTCGCACAGCGCCCGCAGACACACACACACACACACACACACACACACACACACACACACACACACACACACACACACACACACACACACACACACACGCAAGGGCGAGGACACGCGCAGGGGCCGCACCTCTAGCGAAGCCCACAGAGTGGGAGACTCCTATCACCGCCCTGCCACCCACGTGAGCCTTTTGGCCGCCTCTGTCAGTGTGCCCGTGGTAGTGAGAGACTGCTGGTGAGAAGCCGGAGGAAGGTCGCTAGTCGAGAGAGATCGCCAGTGGAATAGGGAGTCCACCGTGCTGCGAGCCTGTCGCTGTCCCTTGTCAGGAGCAGGAGAACTAGGAGAGCGCAACCAGTAGGAGGCCCGCGCCTGCCCCCGTGCCGCCGGGTGCAACCTGTCCTATACGAGAGAGGAATCCCTGGGACCCTGTCGTGTGGGTGAACCCTGCCCAGCCCCCCTCCGTGTCGCGATGCGCTCCCCGCTCCCGTTCCCCTGTGTCCCTGATCGTCCTTCCAAGATCCTGCTCGTGCAGGTGGGGACCCTGTCCCTCTCCCACCCCTCGTTTGGCGTGCCCGTTTTATTTATTTATTTATGGGCGAACATACTCGAGTAGTGGACCGACGGACGTACGGGCACATGTGTCAGAGCGCGCACGAGTGGGTGTGCGAACAATTTCGAAAGACAGGGAGGCCGGGATCACACACGGCAGGGGAACGTACGTCTTCCAGGTAGCTACGGGGGACATCCGGCGAGGAACATTCCGCTCAGCGGACACGCAAGGCCGAACATGAAAGAGACGCCGAAATGCAAGAGACGCCGAGATTGAAAGGCCATAAAAGAAAGAAAAACAGGCTCGTCCGCCTTGTCGTTGGACGCGGCCTGGCGGCCTGGCCATCGCCCATCCATGGAGAATTCAGCGGCTGAAACGGCGCCGGAGGCGGCGGAGGAGGAGGATACCGAGGAGTCTACGAGGCGGGCGCTTCACGCTGCCATCTTTGGCAACGATTCCGACTCTGACGGCGACGACAAGGAAGGAGAGGAGGAGGGCTTTGTGGTGGACGCGCTGCTCGAGTTCATGGGCAACGGCAGTGAGGAGGAGGAGGTTGACGAGGAGGAGGAGGAGGTTGACGAGGAGGAGGAGGGGGAGGAGGAGGAGGACCTCCTCGCCGAAGTGGGAGAGGTACCCGTTCCCGCGCGGCAGTTCTCGAGCGCCTCGACGCGGCTCGCGCTGCAGCAGCAGCAGGGCCTGGCGGCACGTCGCGCTCATGACGGCGAATCTGCCGCTGCGACTGCGCCCGACGCCGCCGGCTCGCTTATGTCCGACTTGGCAAGACTGTGGGAGCGAATGTGCGATGCAGGACCCGACGCCACACCGCTGCTGGGCGGCGACCTCGAGCTGACGGGCAACGACGCCGAGCCGCCGGTGAGGGCGCACGCGCCGATCATTTTCTCGCGATGCGCTCTGTTGCGGCGGCTGGGCGCGCATGACGGCAAGGTCGCCGTGCCCACCCTGACCACCGCCGATGTCGCCAAGCTTGTGCGCGCGTGCTACACGGGCGAAGAGGTCTTCCTGTCTGACGGGGCGGAGGTGGAGGGGGCGCCGGCATCGGGCGCCGCCAACGTTCGCCGCGACATCCGCACGCTCTGTCTGCCCCACTTCGAATTGGTCCGCCTCAAGCTGCGGGGCGCAGAGGTCCCCGACTGCGCGGAGCCGCTCGACGCACCGGCGGCCGCACCTGTCGCCAACCCCTCCATTCCCTCCCGCCCCTCCGGCTCCACGGAGCTTGCTGCCGAGCCCGAGACCACCGCCGCCGGTGGCGTCACTCCGACCGACTTACTTCTTGAGCCCGAGGCGCCCGCCGCGCCGGTGGCGGTGCACGCGGCGCTGCTGCTCGCGCGCTCGTCGTACTTCCGCTCTCTTGCTTCAGAGGCTTGGGCCTCGAGCGCGGTTGGCTCGAGGCCCACTTCTCTCGGCGCACCCTGCTTCACGCGCGATGTGATCCTCGTCGTCGTTGATGCCCTGTACGGTGGGGAGCACCTCGAGATGTGCGATGCACCGCTTGGCGCCCTCGTCGAGGTGTACCATGCTTGCACCTTCTTCGGACTCGCCGAGCCGACGCGCCTCACCGAGGCGGCGATAGTGCGGAGCGTGGGCGAGGCCCAGTTGGCGGAGGCTTTCGCGTTCGCCCACGAGCACTCGGCGTCCACAATGCTCGCCGGCTGCCGGCGCAAGCTGCTGGACGAGTTTGCCAGCTTGTGCAAGCACGAGGTGTGGGGTTCTCTACCGCTGGACGAGGCGCGCATATCCTCCTCCTCGGCCCTCACTCCTTCGGACCCTCCGCTTGCACCCCCCCCCCCTTCCTGCTTGCCCCCATCACCTCACCCCCTCCCCTTGGTCGCAGCTCGAGCTCGCACTCTCCTCCGACTTTCTCGCCGCCTCGAGTGAGGAGGAGGTCGCAGCCGCCGTACTCGCTTGGGCCACGGCCAATCCCGACGCGACCCCCGCCTCCACCGCCGCCGCCTCCTCCTCCTCTGCAACGGGAAGCATAGCGGCGCGAGCTCTGTGGCGTCACGTGCGGGTGCCGATGCTCGACCAGACGGCCCTCGAATCGCGCGGCGTGGCGGCGCAGGCGCTGAGCGCTGGGCTGCTCTCGCCGTCGCAGCTCGCCGACGCACGTGCGTTTCACGAGGGGCCGTCAGGCCGCCGCCACCGCTTGCTCGACTCCGGAGATCCTCAGTACACGATGCGCTTTTCGGCCGCCGCGCTGCCGGCGCTGAGCATGCAGTACCGCACGCGCCGGTCTGAGGAGAACCCTTGGCGCTACGAGATGATGGTTTGCCGTATGCTCGGCGTAGTCAACGGTCGGTTCGACTTTGAGCCAATCTCGTCGGTGCGCTGGGAGGATGGTAGGCTCGTTGTCGGTGCACCTGCTTTCTTCTCGTGCGAAGCCGATGGCGACGCCGCGGGGTGCGGTGCCGTTTGTGCGGCGGACGATGAGTACCCTGCGATCTGCCTCGAGAAGCATTTGACGCGGCTCACGCACGCCATCGAGGCGCCGCTCCCTTCGACCATTGACACCGCGCGGCTGTGCGCACTCGACGTGGCTGCGGTGCGCTCGCTGCTCGCGCGGCTGGTGGCGGCAGAGGAGGCGTTGCGGCTTGCGCCGTGCGTGCAGGCCGTCTACTCGCTGCTAGGCGAGGGCGAGGGCGGGCTCAACTTGTGGACGGCCGTGCTACAGACGCACATCGCGCGCGCCCACGGTTTCAGCCCACCCTCCCTCGGCGTGCAGCTGCTCCGCTCCGCCGCCACGCTCGCGCCAGACGTGGCTCAAGCAGCACACTACGTGCGCTTCAACCGCTGCCGCAGCGGCACGCTCTCCTCCGGCTGTGCTTTGCCCGACGTCATCCTCGCCCGGCTGAGTGATGGCGGCGCCGTGTCACTGCTCGATTCGCTCCCGGCGGCCGGTCCGACATTCCTCCTCGCAGCTTCGTTCACCTGACCGCCGTTCCGCGCGCACGCGCAGCTGCTCGAGCAGCTGCGCGTGCGCGCGGATGGCGTGGTGCGCTTCCAGCTCGTCTACACGGCAGAGGCGCACGCTTCCGACGAGTGGCCCGTCGGATCTCACATTGCGCAGCGCCAGCCGCGCTCCACGCACGAGCGCGTCTCCGTCGCGCGCCGTCGCCTTGCCGAGCTAGGCGTCAACTGGCCCGGCACGCTCGTCGACACTGGGCGCGAGGCCTTCCAAGAGGCTTTCGCCTGCTGGCCCCTCCGCTGGTACTTCCTCGACGGCCACACGGTCACCCACATCGCGCAGCCGTCGGGCGGCGCGTACGACGTGACCCAGATCGAGCTGTGGATCAACCTGCAACTCGAACGCGCCACCAACGCCTAGAGTCGTTGTGTTACCCTTCTGTGCAAGCATGACGAACGCCGTCAGCAAACCCAGCTCGCTGGGGAACGGCGATCTGAGAGAGTCACGGAAGGCAAGACCTGTGTTGCTAACTTTTGTTTGTCGCGTGTAAAAAGGTAAAAAGGAACAGGCTTTCCTTAGGCATAGAGGGGAAACTGCGTATAGCGTATTTTTCTTTCTGTTTCCCGGGGCGCGGCGCGTGCCAATACGGCTGTGAGAGAAAAAGATGCGCGCAGGGGTAAATGGCGCGGGCGTGGGATGTGGTGATCTGTGATAGAGAGAGAGAGAGAGTATGGTGCTGCGGCCTCCTCTCCTTGCGTAAAACCCAGCCGGGCCTTTTTGCGCGCGCCAGTCCCATGCCCAGTGTTGTGCGAGGGAGAGTTTGTTGTGAAATAATCCGTTACTTCGTTTCCGTTGTAGAGAGAGTTGGTTTGTTGAATTCTTTTCCGTTGTCCAGCTTTGACACCTTTTCCGTTCGGCAATCGGTCGCTGGGACCCGCGCTGGCGTGCTTTTGCGTGTTGAGTGTGGCAGCGAGCAGGGACCGCTCCGACTCCATCCAGTTGAGGGCAACTGGCATCGCCACTCCCGCCAGCTGGACCTCGACGCCGCTCCTTCATATGCGCAGTCTCCTCTCTCTAAACATACAACACTTGGCCAGGCCTCGGGCGTAGAAGGCGTGGAAGGGGGCGTTCGCTTTGTATGGCTCTGGGCACATGGGCAGCGGCCGCGGGCGCTCGCTGCCATCAAGAATCACAAGGACTGGTTCACGCACCAGGAGCTCGTCAAGGCGCGGGATGTGCACGTCAAGAACAACCCGTCCCTCGGAGACAGCGCCGTCAGCAACCGCGAAGCCACGCGCCTCATCTCCGCCTCAACGCCTTTTTCGCCGGCAAGGCCTTCGATGTCCGTGTCGACGGTACGTACGCCACCGCCCTCTCCTCCGACACCCTCCATACTCCAGGACGAGCTCCAGCGGAAGCTCGGCCTTTGGCTCTCCGCGGCGCTTCCCACCCTTCGGGTCGCGCTCGAGCGGGGCATGCCAGTCGATTTCTTCGGCGACTACCTTTCCAACAAGGCCCACCACCGGCGGCCCCACGACGGCGTCCTCGCCGCCTGGGCGGACGCGATGCGCGCCCCGGCCAACGCGCCGGTCGTGCACGGCGACAAGGAGAAACCAGAGCTCACCCGGCAGTACAACGAGGGGTACAAGACTGACCTCGCAGAACCCCATGCGGGGCCGGGAGGGTGCGATGACGTGAATGAAATGAAGTCAAGCTCTGGACGCCCCTCCTCAAGACCTCCTCGACGGGCGTTGGCAACGCCTCGAGTGGCGGCACGCCCGCCTCCGTTGGCCACTCCTACGCCTTCGGCAGCACCGAGGAGAAGGCCCGCCCCGCCTGAACATGGGCTGCAAGGCGCGCGGGCAGCCCGGCCAACCCTTCTCCCACAAGAACGGCCACGGCTACGTCAAGGCGCATCGCGGTTTCTACCATGATGCGATCTTTGTCAAGCGCAACAACTTCAACCTGCTGCTCCACGAGACGTTGCGGCAGCTTCTCGCCCACCGCCGTTCTCAAGCTGCGCCGCCTCGCGCGCAAGGTCGCGCGCGGCAGCGTCGACCGCACGGCCTACTCGCCCAAGTACTCGCTCTCTTTTATGTCCCACCATGCAGAGCGCATCTCTCTCTCTGTTGTGCGAGGCGTGAAGCGCGCCATTCGCTCTCACCTGGCAACCCTGTCTGCACGTCTCGCGCGCGCGTGAACAGGGCTCCAGGCCCCAAATGATGTGTGAGTGTTAGATTTGGTATTGCTAAAAATCTCTCTCATGGGCAGCGCAAGTTGCTCCTGAGCCGTTTCCGCAACAAACACCGTGACCTTGTCCGCGTCGCGCCGCCGCAGTGCCCGTTGGCGCTCCTTCTCCATTCGCTTCTTGGCGGCCTCGACTGTCTGCGGCCCTACGGTGGGGCAGCAGTGTGATGCGTGGGGCATGCTTGCTTTGGGAATCGTCTGGCAGGAGGTGGCACCGGCAGCTCCAGCTCCGGGGGGCGAGCGATCATCACTGCAAGACAGGCCCTTCAGAGAGGCCGAATGCCTAGAAAATCATTTGTAGACCTACTTGGAGCACTTGGACCCTATTCGTGTGTTTCTTTCTTCGATTTTTGGAAAAAGAAGGCCACGGCGGCGCATCGTTCTCTCTCTCATGGGAGGTGCCGCTTAGCTAAGAAAAAAATATATGCCACCCAACAGCCCCAAAACTTTTTTTCATCGAAAGCCTAAGCTCAAAAAGAAAATTTATGAAAAGCGGCGGATCGACTAGTCTCGGCGTGCTCGACGTGAAGGTCGTGCTGGTACGGTCGTGCTGTACTCGGGTGAGGCAGTGAAATGCCATTCCGTTTGGAGCGAGTGCAATCGCTATCAAGCACAATGATCTTGACGCTCAACTTGCTCATCCTGCTCGTGTTCTGCACGCCTGCGGACGGGCGACACACCACGCCTCGGTGGGAGGCCGAGGAGTGGATCAGCTCCAACTGCTCCTATTCCACCGTGTGCTCGCCGCCGCCCACCGTCAATATGATCAATCCAGCCGACAACATGAACATTTGGGTGACGCAGCGCTCGCCGACGACGCAGCTAATCTCCTTCTCGCCGGATCGGCTTGCGATCGCCATACCAGAGCTCGAGGCAACCACTGCCGAGGCCTTTGGCGGTAGGACGTACGTCCGGCGCACAAACCAGTTTGTAATCCAGCAGAGAATGTGCCGGCTGTTCCGCGGCGGGAAAGCAGAGACGTGCTACCTCGAGCCCTTCTCGACCGATGGGATGCCGCCCGCGACGGAGCAGGCGCACGCGCTCTTTCGGAAAGCGGGCATGTCTGGGTTCAGCGATAAGGGCCTCCAGATCATGATTGCTACGCTGCTCGCCGAAATCAACGAGCCCGCGGGGGCGTTCACGATCCAGGATGTCCTCCAGCTATTCGGCTTTGATGGCAACCGCACGGCTGAAAATGCTTGCAACAATCACCGAGCCGTGCCCGTGGCCACGGCGCTTCCTCTGGTGGCGGCGGCGCACCCGGAGGCGCAGGTCTTGTGGGAGAATCTTATTTACAACGACGCCGAGCACGCCGAGTCCGTGCTCGGCGTGCCGCCCGGATCGTGCCGTTGGGTGCCAGAGATTCCAGTTGCACCTTTCATCCAGGCGCGGGGACCTGCTCCTGTTTACCCATCTCATAGTAGAGGTGTCCGTTTTCATTTATTTAGGCGGTCACGCCATGGCCTAAGCAGCCGCACCCCGACGACCTCAACGTGTCGCCCGGCGAGTGGGACCATAACTTTGAGGTCTGCGCTCACGAGACGGGCTGCTCCGCCCACGACTTCGCCTGCGTCAACATCTTCTCCCTGGCGCTCCTCTCGGACGACCCCTCGGACAATGGCGGGCCGGTACGGCAGCTGAGACCAGAATTCTCTCATCCACCTGCCACTTGCCCCCGCCCCGAACCCTCCCCCATCTCCCCTGCACAGGTGAATGTGCTGGCCCGCCAGCCGCAGCAATTTCCTGCGGCGGGCGCGGGCCAGGTCTTGGGTGTCTACGCCACTCCCTCGAGCGGCCCGCACACCCCTTGCCCGGTGGATGAAAACGGGCGGCAGGAGCCGTGCAGCCCGCTTGTCGACGGCGCCCGGCCACCTGGTTTCGTCGCACCCGACCCGCTCCACCTTACCGTCGACGAGATCGTCATCGACAGCCTCTTGCGGGTGGGCGCGGACTCGTTTACGCTCAAGCTCTCCTACCACGTCCTATGGAGCGACCGCTTTGCAGTTCACCCTTGCAAGATCTCCCTTTGGGGTACAGGAGGCGGCATCCCCGAAGGCGGCAAGAAGGTCGACGCAACGAAATGGTGGCTTCCCGATCCGGACAAGGACAGCGCCACCAAGCTCACGTTCGAGCACTCGCCCAACCTCACCGTCTACCACAAGCCCGGCCATCTGGTCAACACATCGTGCTACACTGCCGACGATTGCCCGTGGCCGAAGCAGCTGTTCTTCCGCGAGAAGGTCGAGGTGCAGCTCACCGAGAGCGTCACGTGGGATCTCGTCAAGTATCCCTTCGACAAGCAAAGGCTGCGCGCCAAGGTGATAGTAGAGAAGGAGATGCGGCCTACAAATCCACGCCGGGGCTCGGGCTTAGGGTGGCGCTGTTCGATATAGGTGGCGCTGATCGATCGCCGAAAGTTCGCGGTCAAGGAGGACTACCGCACTGCTCTCGTGACTGCGACCCTCCCCGGCGACTTGAACGTGAGCAAGCTCTACAAGGAGGCCGACTGGAGCGTGCAGTACGCTGCGGTGGAGCTGGACGCGAGCGACCCCACCGCGATCGTCTTTGTGCTCGAGATCAAGCGCAACGCCCAGTCGGTCATCTACAAGTGCTTCATCCCGATGATTGCAAACTCTCTCGTGGTGATGCTCAGCGCGACGTTGGGCGACGACACTCGCCTGCAGGTTCTGGTGCTCTCCGTGACCCCTCCGAGGCACCTCCGAGGCACCTCCGTGACCCCTCGCGCCTGCAGGTGTTGGTGCTCTCCCTGATTGTCGCGTCGACGATGCTCGATCCGGTGCGTGTGTCTTGCCAGACGCGCCACCCGCTGCTGAATGTCAGCCGTCACGGTGCTTGTCTTGCTTAGGAGTTCCTTGGCTTGCCTGCCAACCTCGAGGGAAACGCACTCGTCCCGTTTATGCAGTCGATGATCATCATCCACTTCACAGTCACAACAATGTTGCTCCTGTACACTCTCTGCTTCTACGTCGTCGACCGCTACTACGCCTCGGCCGTCAGCCGAGAGCAGAGCAAGTACCGCGAGGGAACCAAAGCGGTGTGGCAGCGCCACGCCGCCAACTACAACAAGTGGGTCGACGCGCTGCTTCCACCCACCGCGCTCGTCGAGGATCCAGAGAGCCCCGAGCCGCCCAAGAGCTCGCACTTCTCCGGCGCGGGCGGCGCCGAGGCCGACGGCGCCGAGGGCAAGGCGGCGCCTCCGGCGGCGTTCAACGTGCAGCGTGCAGTGCTCGAGGTTCTGCTCAGCATCCCTGCGCTCTTCCACAGGCAGGACCCCACGCGCGCACCGACCCCAGGTATGGCCGAGATCCTGCCCAAGTATGGCGAAATGCTCGACGTGCGCGGCTGCATCAATGGCCACCTCATCTGGCTCACCCCGCTGGCGTTCGCGCTGGCGTGGAGCATCGACGCGCTCATCTACTTTGCGTAGGGGTTGGGCGGTGGGGGCGCCGTTTTCCCGCTTTAGATGGAAAAAGAGTGTGCAATGGGATGGGCCAGGAAGAGCCCCTGCGGCCTAGTTTTGGGTCGAACGGAGGGGTTTTGCGTTAATTGAGTCAGTTCCGTATTTCTTAAATCGTCATGCCCCGCAGCACTCTCTTCTTTTTACGTGCCGATGAGTGTGCTCGTGTGCGCCAGTCCACACCCTTGCAGAGCCAGTCTTTTGGGAAACAGACAACAAGGGAGGGATGGGAACCGTTGAGTTTCTTCTTCGACGCACACACCAACGCGGGCCACACACACATACACACATATGCGAGCAGCAGCCAAGCTCGTCGCCGCCGGCGTCGCGGCAGGCGGCGCGCGAATCGCCTGCAGCCAGGCCAGCCAGGCCAAGCCGGCAGCTTCGTCCGAGAAGCCGCGGCAGAAGGCGGAGAGCCAGCCGCGCACGATGCAGGAGCTGATGCTGCAGCTGGCGGTCAAGCACCGCCGCGTCTTTGTCTCGGGTGAGCGGCGCCACGAGCGGCCGGAATAGCACTGGAGTAGCGTGCTGCAGCAGATTGTGCGCCGTACTAGATCTGACGACGAGAGAGCCGCCGCCAGCCACGCCACGCCTCGTCAGGCTCGATCGACGATGAGTCGGCCAAGAGTGTGGTGGCGCTTCTCCTGTACCTCGAGGGCGCGGAGCCGGGCGCGCCGATCACTCTGCTCATCAACTCGGGCGGCGGCAAGGTGCGGAGCCGGCCACGTTACCTCCGAGACACCTCCTGACACCTCCGAGACACCTCCGAGACACCTCCGAGACACCTCCGCGACCCCTCCGAGGCACCTCCCGCAGGTGCAGGCCGGCCTCGCCATCCACGACGTGATGCGCTCCCTCTCCTCGCCCGTCCACACCGCCTGCCTCGGCCACTGCGAGTCGATGGCGGCGGTGCTGCTGGCGGCGGGCGAGCAGGGCCATCGCACCGCGCTCCCAAACAGCAGAATCATGGTGCCCCCCGCGCCCGGCTCTGCTCGCCTCGCCCCGCCTCGCCTCTCCACCGCCGCCTCTCCTCCGCCGCAGGTGCACCAGCCGACGCGGCGCTCGGCCGGCGGCCAGTCCAAGACGTCGCGGCAGCTGCAAATCTCGGCCGAGGAGACGGAGAAGTCGCGCCTCAAGCTCGCCGAGTGCCTCGCCCGCGACACGGGCAAGACGCTGCCGGAGATCGAGGCCCTCCTCGAAAACGACTCGTACTACTCGGCCGCCGAGGCTCGCGCCATGGGCCTCGTCGACGTGGTCGGAGGCGCCGTCGGAGGCGGCGCGGTGCCGCCTCCGCCGCCGGGCGAGCAGGCCGGGAGCGCAGCGGCAGCAACGGGGTGAAATTAGGCCCCTCTGCCGTGGCACGTGGGATGGAAAGTGGCAGCGCCGCTATTTTTGGTGGGGGTCCTTCCTACCCGAAAGAATTGCGGACTCGCCCGTGCTCGACAGGCGCGACAAAATAAAAAAAATCGCGGTGGCAACTCGCCGGCGCATCGACGCCAGGGCGCTGGACAGCTTGCCTGCTCCTCTGCCACGCTCGACGGCACAGATCTGCATGAAGCGTGCAGCCCTAGAGTTCGACCCTAAAGCGCAGCTACTTCGCATCCTCGAGGATTACCCGGGCGGCCAGCTCGTCAGCGAGGCTGTGCAGAATGCCGAGGACGGCGGAGCATCGCAGTTCACGCTGCTGCTCGACTTGCGGCACCACGCGGTTGAGCACCAGGCCATCGCAGGCCCTGCGTTTGTCCTCATCGACAACGGCAGAGGCTTCAGCGAGCGTGAGTGGACGAGCCTCAGAGCCGTCAACAAGTCGGAGAAGCGATCGTCGCCCTCCGAGATTGGTGCCTTCGGAATGGGAAGCCGATCGTACTTCCACTACTCGGACGTCACGCTGGTCGCCAGCCGCGGCCAGTACGGTGGGATCGACCCGCTCAAAGTCCTGCCTGGGCGACACGGTGGCTGGCACGTGTCGCTCAGTGAGGGCGAGATCCGGGCCGAGGCGGACGTGCTGTTTTCACCCACGGTGGCAGGTCTCTGCGAGGGCTTCGACCGGATGCAGCGCGGCGCGTTGATCCGCCTACCGCTGCGCCGGGAGCAGGACGTGCTGAGGGAGCAGGAGCAGTCGGACGATGGCCAGCCTCTCGCCCCAGAGATCACGGTGGCTCGCGCAGAGGAGCTGTTTGCACAGTGGGCCGAGTCTGCCCCGCGGCTCCTGCTCTTCCTGACGAGCATGCGGCGCGTCTCCTTCTATCGGTGGCGGTCCGGCGCAGCGCAGCCCGAGCTCGTTGCCGACACAAACAAGAAGTACCTCCTCGGAGAGCCGCGACCGCGCTTGCCTCCGTCTCTGCCCGACAACGTGACGCGCACGTATGCTACGTTGCGCGAGCACATCGTCGACCTGAGTACCTCAAAGCGCACCGAGCTCTCCGCCACGCAGGAGGCTGTGGTGCGTGTCGAGCTGTCGCAGCCGGCGCCACAGGGCGCCTCGTCTTCCGTCTCAGCCATCGACTGGTTTGTATGCGAGCGGCTTGACTTCATCACGCCGTCGGTGCTCGACGCCATGCGAAAGGGCTGCTGCAGCCACGCTACGCCCGTGATCCCAGTCGTTGGGATCGCGATGCCGCTCACCGCCGATGGCGTTCCCTTCGTGGGCGTGCCCTACTGCTTTTTGCCGATCGGACAGATGCGCACCGGGCTGCCTGTTCAGGTGAACGGCTCTTTCAGGCCGACTCCCAATCGGCGTGAGCTGTGGCTGCCAGGGGAGGAGTTGGATGGGAACCACGAGAAGTTCGCGCTCTGGAACGAGGTGCTGATGAACGACGCCGTGCCGGCCCTCTGGCTCGAAGCTCTGCGGAACCTCGCTAGCTCCGGGATTGCGACGACAGCAGGCCGGCAGTTCGACATTTTGTCTGTGCTGCCGGACCTTGCTGCTGTCGACAACGTCTGGCGGCCATGCGCTGAGAAGCTCTACACGCTCATTAGCGGCGAGCCTCTGCTCCCGCACTCCGGCTCCCGCCAGTGGGTGATGCCGCGCGAGGCGTTGGGCGTGGTGGCTCCCGCAGCTCTCGCGTCGCAAGTAAAGGGCGTGATGCGGCTGTACGAGCGGTGCCCCGACCCAGCTCTTCGCGAGCAGGTCGCCCTCGTGAGCGCGTCAGCTGCTCCATCGGCTCAGGCTGCGAGCACCTCGCGAGCCAACTGTGTGGTCACCCTTCCGAAGCACGTGCTCGACGGCTGCGAGCGATTCAGCGCGTTGCGCAGGGTCCGGATTGACCATGTCTTGCGCTGTGTGCTGCGCGCGGACCGCAGCGCCTTTGAGGGCCCGACAGCCGTCGACCAGCTGAGGCCGATCCTACTCGCTCTGATGAGCTACGCGGGACAGGCTCCCTTCAGCTCAGCCGAGCACGGGGAGTGGCGGGGCGAGCTAGCAGACGTGCCGTGGGTCGAGACGAGCGGCGGCGCCACCGTCAAGCTGTCTGCGGCGTTCGCGCCGTCCGACGCCCTCGCAAAATGGCAGCTGGGCGTGGTCGGCAGCAACACGGCGCAGCTGGGCGCCTCCGACGCGGCTACCACGCTCGCTGGCATCGCGTGGGGGCTAAAGCCGGGTCTGAGCTGGGCGGATTGCGTCGCCGAGGCACAGATGATCGAGAAGGATCGCGATCGGCCGCTGGCAGAGCGGGTGGCGTGGGCGGAGCGGCTGATCAAGTACCTCCAGCACAGCTTCGGTACGGTGGGCCTGTTCGGGCCTTGTGAGGATGAGGAGGCGACCAAATGCCGTGCGCTGCTCAGCGCAATCGCCTTTTGCCCCGCGGTCGAGCCGAGCGGCCGATTTGACTCTGCTGCCTCAGAGGGCACCCTCTGCCTTCGCTCTCCTTCATCCATGCAAAGCTCGAGCAACGCGCCGTTCGTTTGGGCGGTCGAGCCGCGAGCCAAGGTCTCTGCCACCCTTCTCCGCTTCGCGAAGCTGTCGGTGGAGGTTGTGGTGCGGCAGATCATCGCCCTCTCCGCTATGCCTGCTCCATCCGCAGAGGCCAGCGTGCTATCGCAGCACTTGCTCTCGGCTGCACGCCGCCTGTCGCAGTTTCCGCCAGCAGAGCTTTCGCCACTCAGCGACAGCGAGCTGGGCGCGCGGCTGCGCGAGGCTGCCTGGGTGCCGGGCATGGGCGGCGGCAACATGGGCGGCGGCGACCAGCTTCGCTTCTTTCCGCCGGGCCGGGTAGCGCATCAGCTCCACGGCGACCTCTGGCCGCGCTTTGGGCGTCTTCCGGACGATTGGCGAGCTGGCTTGTCGACGTTTCTGCAGACGTTGGGCGTGAAGCAGACTCTCTCAGCCGCCGTGCTGGCGGCGGAGCTTCGAGACGTTGCCGGTGAGGGCCAGCACTCGGAGCGCTTTGCGCTCTCCATCCGCATGGCCGCGGAGCTAGCTGCTGCTCTGGAGGCGGGCGCGGTCGCGCCGGACGAGGTCTTTGTGCCGACGACTGATGGGCGGCTGCTGCCGGCGGCGCACGTGTTCATCAACGACGCGCCGTGGCACTCTCGAGCCGCCGGGGCGGCCACGCAGGCGCTGCTGCACGAGGGGGTGAGCCCAGCCGACGGCAAGCGGCTCGGCTGCTCCTCTGTGCGCGACGAGCTGGCGCGGCTCTGCGAGGAAGAGGGCGAGGTAGAGGGCGAGGTTTTCGGGCAGAGCGAGCGGCTGTCCACTCGCATCGAGAACCTGCTCCTCAAATACAACGACGAGAAGGACCTCTTCGTTGAGCAGTGCGTGACACCCCCCCCCACCCCCACTCCCCCCTTCGTAGTTGCCTTGCCTTCACCCGCTCTGACGCGGCTTCGCCCCCTCCCTGCGCAGCTTGCAGAACTGCAACGACGCCGGCGCTTCCAAGGTTCTCTTCATGTTCGACCACGGCTCCTACGACGCGATGTCGGTCATCGCGCCTGGCCACGAGGCACTGCAGGGCCCTGCGCTTGTCCTGGCGAGCTCGCGCGCGCTCGATGACAACGACCTCCTGCGGATCAAGCAGATCGGCAGCTCGGAGAAGCGCAAGCAGTTTGCGCAGGCCGGTCGCTTTGGGCTCGGGCTCAACTCCTTGTACCACCTGAGCGACACGCCGCAGATCTTCGCAAAAAATCTGGCGTTCGTCGTACTCGACCCGCTGCACAAGCTGGGCGGCGAAGACGGCATGAGGTATATTCCCGCGCGGCTGCAAGAGAACTTCCCGAACATGCTTGCGCCGTTTGCGGCTGTGCCGAAGGAGTACCCGACCGTGTTCCGCTTGCCGCTTCGCATGTCGGGGCCGTCGTCTTTCGGGAGGAAGTGGTCCGCCAAGGCCGCCTTCGACCTGCTGTCGCGCTTCATCGAGCTTCAAAAGTCGGAGCTGCTGCTCTTCTCCAAGTCGGTCACGCAGGTCGTCGTTGACGTGCGCTCAAGCGACGGCTCGGTGGCGCGCTTGCGCGAGATCGCTCGCACAGACACGGTCGACGACGACGACACGCCGCTGCAGTCGCCGCGCAAGTCGCCGCGGGTCGCCAAGCGGACAGCTGTAGCTGCCACTTCGCAAGCGCCTGTTTACGTCTCCTCGCCGTTCATGCAGCGGCTGCCGACGACCTTTGAGGAGGTGCGGCAGCTGCAGGGGTCGCCACGTGACAGCATCGAGCGCGTCACCATCGTCATCGAGTCGCCCGATGCCGCGCCGGTCAAAGAGCGGTGGCTGATCGCACACTCTCTCGCCGTCGATGGCGACGGTCTCGGCTTGATCCGCGACTTCATGGAGGCGAGCACGCCCACGGCGCTGCTACCGCACGGCGCCGTCGCGCTGCTCCTCGGCGGCGCGAGCGAGTACAAGGGCAACGTGGCCGCGTACATGCCCATCGGGCTGTCGTTGGGTTCTCCGATGGTGCTGCACGGCTGCTTCGCGATGGATGACAGCCGCAAGAATGTGCCGCTGCCTGACGGCAAGCAGCGGATGAATCAGCAGCAGGGGCGGTGGAACCAGGCGCTGCTGCGGTGCGCGTGCGCGCGCGCCTTTCGGATGGTCGTGACGCAGTGCTGCGAGCTGGTGAGCGAGCGCACGATGAGACTCTCGGAGTATTTCGACCTGCTCAGCCTCGCGGACGATGACAGCAATAAGCCGAGTGCACTGCTGCGGGAGGCGACGCGGGCGGCGCTATGGCAGGAGCTCAGCCGGAGCGATGCCAACAGGGTGCTGCCAGTCGCCAGCAGGGACGAGAAGGTGCGGGAGTGGCTGCCGGTTCGACCCACCACG